TGGGCCCCCTGGCGGCTTTCCTAGGTACTGCAGCAGAACTTCCGGTTTTCATATCTCGTGATCTGGACATGCTAGGGTCACGAATTTTGTATGGCAGATAGCTCTTGGGATAGGGAAGAAGTGACATGAGTTTGGGTCCCCTAGCGCCTTCTTCTGGAACTGTAGGTCTGGAGCATTTGTTGAAAATTTGTCGAAGGATGATAACTCAAGAACCCGTTACCGGTTGACGGATTGTCGTGATTTTTGGTATGTAGGTAGTTTAAGTGATGCTTGACACAATCAGATGACAATTATGCAAATCAGGAGCTAATTTGCATAATTAATGAGGAATTTCTATACATTATTTTTTTCGATAATAGAACTATGAAACACTTGTGACATCTACTTGAGAACGAGAAGATATACTAGTACATCACTATACATAATTTATTCAAATTAAGATCCATTTGCATAATTTATGAGGAAGTGCTATAATAGACTTTTTGTTAAGATAAGGTTGTCATTGGGTGGAGAATATAATCAACTGATATAATCCATGCAACTGAGGCTCTAATTTACAAAATCAATGATTAAAATTGTATAATTCGTCAACCGCAAGGGTTGACATCATTTGTCGAAGGTATGAGATCGTGGAAGTCTTGTTTCAGATGCTAAGGTTATGCTGCGTGCAGGAATTTTTCCTGACTTTTTTAAAGTATACAACAGCCCAATTTACTACACTAAGAGTTGAGCCCAACAAACATTAAAACTCAGAAGACGTACATTTACTTTTTATGTGTTTTTATTGTTAAGGTTTCGTTGCAAAGCATGTGTCTGCTCGCAAGCTACAGTACAATTGTCAAAACAGTGCACACAGTGAGCCAAGGCCCAATAGCCCCTCCAATATTGAGCATGTTAAGGTTTGATGTAAAATTACAACAGCCAAGGCCCTCACTACAGCTCCCATAGCAGAACATGTTAAGCGTTCATGTAACAGTCACCACACCATGGTAAGGGCAGGGCTGCAATTATCAGGCATGTCTTCATCGCATTCTTCAGGCATAATCAGGCATAAATGATTGTGTTGGGCCGTCAGTACACCTCATACCAGGAAGCCTTGAGAACTTTGGATCTTGAAACTCTTTCTGACCGCAGATACAAGCTTTGCCTGAACTTCGCAAAAAAGGTTAGACAGTCGCCCCGCTTCTGCTGCTGGCTTCCTTCGACGCGGGGAGATCTGCACGGTCGACAGCTGAGGAACTCGCTCCAGTACTCTCAGGCCAGAGGGACCAAAAGATACACGACCAGCGCGAAGCCAATGTTGGCTAGACTCCTCAATGGACTGTAAAACTGAACTGTTGTGAACCGTTTTGATCCGAGAGCAGCCTCACCTGTAATTCCTCACAATAACGCTTTTTAATTGCCTTGATGTTGAACCACGTTATATTTATAGTATGTAAAACCACGTTGACAACATTAAGCGTTCCTTGTATATACTTGTATATGTATTTTAATAGCCTACTTTAATAGCCTTTTATTGAGTATGTGGAATGTAAAATTCGGCGCAATTCAGTGTATACTGCAAAGCCGACTTGTCCCGTGTTTTATCAATAAACCATTTACTACTACTACTACATCTGACCTACATACAACATGCACAATCGTATGACTTGTCTTTCCAGCATTCCTGTACACCTCAAGTATCTAACATTGATCGGAAACTGAATAGCCTAGGATCCAGCCTTTTAATACCAGGCTTCCAAACCATTTGCAATTCTGACAACAAAACCGTAGCCTCTAGCAGGCTTTGGAAAGCGGCTGGAATGAGTAGAAATTGGCCAGATAGACAGATGATATGCCAGCGGAGTTGGTCTGCGGTAAATTGTAAATTACCATAGTAAGTCACTAATAGTAATTTTGTCACAAATTGTAATTACCAAAGTCACTAATAGCCTAGCAACAGGCAAGCTTCCAAAGCCAGCCCTGCCACAAACTCAGTAGTGGTTTCCCAACAGCTTGCATAGAAGAGTGCTAGCTTTAGGAGCCCTTTTTCTGGGCTATCTGTTAGTTATATTATATCAGCTGTTTCTAAAATCAACTTTTCACCAACACTTTCTAGAACTTGTATGTATAACATTTAGATTTATGCACAACGATATTATGTTTTATCCCAATACACTATAAAAATATCATCCTATAGCGCTAAAACCAGAGTGTTATAATCTCTAACCAAAGTCAACGGTGATCTCATTTACAGCGGATTTTTTCAGAAAAAATATGAAGCGACAGGGCGAAAAAAAATAAAAACAGGTCTAGGCATCCTATTATTGCCCCAAATGCTTCGATTGGAGCCATGAAGTCAACACAAGAAGCTGGGATAAAATTTAAACAATGAATTTTGAACTTTTAACCAAACCACTGCATTAGAAGATTGAAAAACTGTAACAAGTAGGAAGAAAAGGACTTTTCCTCAACTGTTGGGAGCAAAAGATGAGCATTTTTTAGATGATTCAGAACCAGTAATTTTTTTTTTTGCAAATCAGAAAAAATGAAGAGGCGAATCCGAGAACCAACAAATCAAATTGGTGTGGCCTTAGACACATTGATCAGATCACACCAAGATTGTCTGGATCGCAAAAGTGAGATCCCGTGATCCCATGTCTAGATCACTCCTAGTTTAACGTATACCCTCAGTCATGCTGATCACATGTACAATGCACCGTTGTTATCATCTAGAGTCTTACAAGTTGCTAGACATCTTAAGTTATTATCAAGTGTTTGCCACTACATTGTGTCTAGTAAGAGTTGTTTAAGGATGCCAAGATTAGGCCATGTTGATTTGATTATATGGATGACATCCGCGTGCGCATGTAATTTTCGGTCGTTTCCAAAAAGAGAAAAGTTTTCATCCATACTGTAAATCGTACAAAACAGTTGCAAAATGAGCAAAATTATACCATAAGTTACAAAAAAATTAATAAAAACTATACCAATGTCGTAGAATGTCAAAATCAAACGAAAAAAGACGAAATTGTAAAGAAATGAACTTGAGGACTAGATTATTCGCCAAACCATATTCTCTGCCATTTGCTCAACCCTCATGACCACGTAGATTTCATTATGAAAATATCTTTTTTTTTTGCAAAACTTTTTTTTTATTCGCACGCGCGCATCAGTTTTGGGGCTCCCGGAGGATGTCATCCATATAATCAAATCAACATGGCCTTAGTCTGAGAAGCAAGGATACATTTGTACCCCTTATTTGGAACCATGATGGGGTGACGTGGTATGACGCCTTGCGTATGGCATTTTGTTTTTCTGCAAGAGTCAGACTAATTTTCGTGTGAAAGGAAGTAATCTGCGCTAGTAGGGAGACACAGCAAACTGATCTATTCAAACCAGACAGGCCTGTGATGTCAGGGTACATTTCAGTATATAGCAAGTGCTGTCCTCACCCTCTCCACACATACACATACCTGTCCTTGGTGCTGAACACCATCCATGCCAGGCATACAGACCTGGTGCTGAATATAATATACACACGGGCAAACAGACTTTCAGTTCAGCTGAAAGCACATTTATAAATGCAACAAGACTGGCAATGAAAACATACATTGCCATAGCGACGGTGGTTGCTGTTAGGGTGATTGTTTGCATGGCACTGCCATCATTTCATGATTTTGAGGAAGACTTGGTACCTGTTAAGTCTAGACAGATACAGTGCACTCCTCCACTGTGTGTATAGTGAACGAGCCCCGGGGTCACAGAAAGTAGGGCCATCCGGGACAGAGAGGTCTTCTCAAGGGTTCCCAGGAATGTGGGCATAGATGTGGGTCAGAGACATGTATGTGGACACATTCCATTCCTGTGGACAAAATGCCTGTACCATTCCTAGAATTCTTGCAAACTGCACACATTACTGTACCATTAGGCTCCTCCCTGAGGCGTCGCCAAAAAAGACACAGTCCTACTAGAAAAACAGCCATTTATTGTACCTTGTCATAGAAAAACTACTCACCATTCTGCACACAGAGAATGACAATGCTCAAGAACTCCAAATCATGGATGATAAACTCACATGGATTTTTTTTCTTACCATTATAAGTCTTCACTACAGAATCAAGTGCCATACAGTCAGCAATCCCTGTATTTCTTCCATACAGTCTGCAATACTGGTATGGATCCTTCTCATATTACTTTGTTTGCGGGATTACATACCTTTCAATATTGCTTGCAATAAGGTAACGTTACATGATGTACATGTGGATATGAAAATACTTTAGACAATTTCCTACAGAGATCTAGCACCACATTAACAGTTAACTACATCACACATGTAGTGTCTCATCGAAAGACAGAGAAACGTACCACAATCAATAGGTACTAATATTAAAAGGGAACATGTGGGGATAAAGAGATGTGTGAGACAGCCAAAGCAATTATTCGACTACAAGGTAGATAGTCTACGTACATGTTACCCTTTTCTTTGCCATGTTTTAAAATTTCTATCTACTCTCTATCGACATTTTTGTGTATTCATTGAAGCACCCTCCTTCCCTTTCATACTTTAAGTAAAACAGCAGTTTACAGCAATGTAGGGTTCTCTTCAGTATTAACAATTAGTTCTACCAAAAAGGTACACATTTCCATCTTGTATCCAAGTTAAAGTTGTAGTATAACAATGGACACGGTTTAGATAATTATACATGTATATCTCTTGGTATTGTTGTACTGCATCAAGGACAGTGGTTGACCATAGTCAGTGGTAAAAACAGATTTGCACAGATATGTAGAGATGATTAGCTTTGTTCTAGCTCAAACGTCAAAGTGGTATTGGAGGACAATCAACAAAGTGTACAGGAAAGCAAAGAAGAGTTTAAGTATAGTGTGCAGTTATCAAACAACCAACACGAAGAGACAAATTCAGAAATTGTTACACAGCAATTGTTTCTGAAGCAAACAATAATTATGCAAAATAGATAATATCTACGTCATTTGGGGTCTTCATCCTCAAAAAAAGTACAAAAATGGAATCATCTGCTGACATCAGAACTGTTTAAATCAGGCTCAAGAAAGCAAAACACCAGAAACATAAAATAACCAACACTTGCAGAAATAATGCTTCAATTAAATTACTGTAAAGAAGTACATTTGAGCCAGCCAAATGTCTACACAAAAATGTTTTACTATATTTTGAGCAAATAAATCTACATGTACATAAAACCAACCAAATATTCCTAATTTTGGTTTGCCTTGTTGACTTCTCTTGGTCAATGTGATCTTCCTATAACAAAATTGTGACAATATAAGTGAACAAATGAAAATATGGCTTCAAAAACCTTGCAGTGCATGCAAGTACATAAATTTGCAAGCATTGTTAAGGTGGGCAACTTGAAAGCATCATTAAGGTGGGCTTAAAAATTCCACTGCAACTTCGCAGTGTAACAAAATACACATGTAGCATTTAGCATCTGTCCTATTATCACAAATAATCTACATGGTGGTATTACAAAAACATTCAAAGCAGTTAAATATCATGAAGAGTGCAACAAGAAGCGTATAAAGTTGGGTTTTCTCAGAAATTTTTATCTACTACCGGTATGTTTAAGTCACTACATAAGCGCATGAAGTCTAAGCAACTAAACTTTTGTACAATCAGTGATAATAGAAATAATTATGAATAAATACATTTTTGTACTAAAGTCTTGCAGTTACTAATAATAGCATAAGCTTTAATCTTACATCAGGCACTGAAATAATCATACTTCATACTTCATATTCATAATTCTCTTGAACAACATCTTTGTCTACGTGAGTTACAGACCATCGGTGGGTTAAACATGGAGTGATCATTGGGAAAAAGTTATTTAACATTCTTCCTACTACCTAACCCCATACCCAATACAAATTTGATGCCAACTTGCTTAACCTTAGCAGGCTGAAAGTTAATGTTATCCAGGGCACCTCATTGATAACTAGTAAACCAGTGCACTTTGCATCTGGAATGTCTACTGCTTTTTGCAACATCAAAATCATCTCATTTTAATCTCCTTTCTTTGATTCTGTCTTCTTGTAGAGAAAGTCTTCTGGCAAGCTATTGCTATGTAGACTTACACCACAGTTTAAATACAAACCATTTTGTCCCTTTTTGTTTTTGATATAACAATAGTTCATGGTGGTTACCTATACCCCAAAAGGTACTACAAAATCTGCACATCAAAGGTGAAAATAGATGCTTTTGTAGTGCTGTAGAATTACAAACTATGATGCATTGAACTCTTAAAGCAAAGCCACAGAGTCACACTATAACAACCCTCATACCAATGCAACAGGAATCTCATATTTTAAGAGATTGAACAAGGTGGTTTGATTATGCAGCAAGATCAAACTGTAATTTCCAACACAAGAAATTTGACTCACCCAAATTTTCGACTGTACAACTCCAGTCTTTGTCAAGGATTGAACAGTCGTACAGTCGAAAATGTGGGTGAGTCCAATTTCTTGTGTTGGAAATTACAGTTTAATCTTGCTGCATAATGACTTCTACTAATACAGATGAACTTTCAGGATAAGGTGGTTTGTTGACTACATTTTGCACTGCCAAACCATCACCATGGATTCTTTATTTTTCCTCTGTTGCATGGCAGTTTCAGGATCGTACAGGTAACAGTGCCCCTCCCCTCCACTCACTACCATCATGGTTATGTTCTTCACAGTAGCCGTTCTTTCCTCTTCTTCCTTCTTCTTCTCCGTGGCGGTCGCACCGTGTTCGCTGCTGCTGTCACTCTTGGCGTCGTCAGTGCGGGACAGGTTTGGGTAGCCGGGTGCAGCGGGGGCTGGGGAGGGGGGCGCCAGGACATCAGATGTACTACTGTCCTCCGAGTACTGTCTCATCATCTCTGGGGTACAGGACCGGTCCTGGTGGACAGAAACATTAACATGATTATACTGAAAACACAGGAGTATGGATGTTACTTAATGCCCTTTTTTCTTAACAAGGTAAATAATCAACCTTACAGTTTGGTCTTACAGAGCTTATATTTACTGTACAAAAATGTTAACATGATTCGAATAAAGTCTCAAAGTCTCTTATACCAAAAACACATAGATTCCACACAGTGGTATAGATGCTACATACCGGTAACATCCTTTTCTTCTCAACATGATTATACTGTAACTTCATCAAAACACTGAATCGTTTTCAACCATGATCCATGTTAATTATTTGAATTAGAGAGAGCAAATAACACCCTCATTGTAGTACAGGTAAATAAACTTTGGAAATTGTTGTGTGCCATTATTGAAACCATTCCTGCCTACCTACAAAACCAACTAGCCTACCTACAAAATCACACTGCAAAAATTAAACTAATTAGTCTAATGTACACGGCATTCAACTATCTAGAAAAAGCTCACAAACACCACAACTTGGTCTTGCTTTACCACAGCACATCTAAATGTGATGTGTTAAGCAGTAAGCACAACACTAACTGCACACCTTTTTCTCAAACTGCAGTACTTCCACACAAAGCTAGGTGGCTCAGCAAAACAACCCTACCACTATCGACTAGGGCCAATGTCTATGAAGTAGAAGACTATACTCTACTTCTTGTGTTAGGCTATTGGGTACAGGGTTAGAGACCTGGTTAGGGACCTGGGAAGAGGACTCACCCTTTGGTTGGTGACCTGGTTACTGCTTCCCACATGGTGATACACAGACTGAGACAGAGGGGTGGGGTGTTGTTAGCTAACTCTTCATTAGTGTATTACATTACAAGAGTGCCGTGGTCCCTGGCTCAAGAAGTCTTTGACAATGTAGAGATACAAATTTTTCTTAAGCAATCAGTATTCCTGATTCATGATTATAGTATGTGTATACCCATAGTAAAAAGGCATTGTTGCTGACATTGTATGTGATTAGAGGCATCCAAAAAAATTAGTTGTATTTTCCAAAGGCCACTAAAAAACAACTTGAATGGATACACTTCAAATAACAGAAACAACCAACTATGTATGCGTCAATCTATAGTGAACACTGAAATTCTAAATATATTCTAGATGTTTTCTTCAGTCAGACAGCCACTAAAAACTGTTACAAAACAAATGAAATTTTTTGAAAAGCCATTAGCAAGTTACATTTAGAATACTTCCCACAATTTTCAGTACATAGAGGGCAGTGCCCATCTTTGTTTCTATAGCCCTTGTGCCACAATATATGCCATGTACAATGTAAGCCCCCCTAAACCATTATTGTGTCAGTAAGCCAATGCCAGTAGAAAACCTGCAGATATTGACTCACCATGGTAAGATGAGAGTACAGGGTCTTAACCATGTCAGACTCGTCTGACCCAGAGCTGACGTTGCTGCTACGTTTCTCCTTAATGTTCCCAGCCACCGCCTCTCTCAGTTCTGCCGCCATGCCACGCTTCTTCCCGATTGGTGGGGTCGGGGGTTCAGATCCCGACGCAGAAGACGCTGTGTAAAATGTTCGTGAATAGTTTCATAAGGGTGGTAAGTCACTGCATTTTATGCCCCAAGATTGAATTAGTGCATGTAGCCTACACTTTTGTAAGCCTGTGATACGACACACACATATAGAATTTCTCATTAAACTATTTTAGAAACCTGTAGTTTTATTATTGTACATTATAGATACAGTCAAATTAGTGACCACCTCTACCTTCTACACAGCCAGGACTATAGTCTTTTATTCAGACCACGTGATGCAGTGCAATGTGAACTAGTCAGAATTGCCCTGAGGAAGGGGACAGACGGTCACCAAAACGTCGGCTGAATAAAACACTTGGTTGTGTAAAAAATAGTCTCTTTACTCTGTGTAAAGTGTTAGAGTCAATACAAAAAACAGACTGAAGACTGAACTTGCATCTGACTCTGTTACGTAATATATACAGACTTTATATAATTCCCTCCAGCTCAGTTTTCATTTCATTTTATGCCCCAAGATTGAATTAGTGCATGTGGCCTACATTTTTGTAAGCACGTGTGATACCACACATATATTTAGCATTTCTCATGAAACTATTTGGAAACCTGTAGTTTTATTATAAATTTTACATTGTAGAATATACATCATACAGTCAAATTTGAACAGGTGAACACTTCTATATGAGGAACACCATTCCTGGCCAAATTAAATGTGACTACTTTTGGTGGTGCCTTTAAGATAATTTTAGATGAATTGACATTAAGCATTAAGAATCTTATTCATAGGAACCATCTGTCCATGGTACATGTAGATCAGATTTTTATCAGTTTCCTTCTTGAGCAGTTTTGCAAATAGAAATGAAAAAAACTAGAATTTTTACCTTCACTTGGTCTCCTTTCCTTGGTCTTACTCTTGATAGTGTGTGTCTTTGTCTTGATAACAGTGATGAAGCGCACTGGGCCATTATGGGCGTGGTAGGCAACCATCCCCCTCCCGGTGATGAGTGGAACTCCCCCTAGTCTGGGCAGGGGGAGGCTCACTACTACTCCCAGGTTGGTGCCCACCCACAGGCAGCCTTTGCTGGCCTCCAGCAGTGTTACATGGATGGGCTGGTCTGACAACAGCTCCTGTACTTTTGGATCCAGCTCTGTAGCATGAAACAAAACTCCCATAATTAAGAAATTTACTATACAGTAACTGTTGATTGTAAATTACAGTGCTATTAGATACAATAACTTACAGAAATTTAAAGTGTTGGTAGCAACAACAAGGGTGTAAGAGATGTTAAACTTCATGGATTGTTGGAGGGTCCCTCATGCAAAATTGGCTTCCTGAGTCTTAGTGTGTCATTCTGCCTGTCAATCTTCCCTCCACCATTAATTGTGCTGTCAACCTACTCTGTCTGAACAAGCAGACACACAAACCCACAGCTCGGCCACCCAAAACAATACTTCTGTACAACAATGGAGAATCCACTTCATCTATGATGAGTTGTCATCACGGCATATTGGTACATTTTCCAAAAGAAAGTTGAAATTTCTTTGTACCATCTAACAATTTGTTTCAGTACATTGTTTTGCTTCTTTCACAGAAACTAACATCAGAACTACATTAGTTACAGCTTGGCCCTGTCTGAACTCTACCTAACCACACTTTCCCAACGACGGCATGAACTGTGCAGAAAGTTTGCTAAGTTGTTGCTGAAATCGCCGACCTACAGAAACTGGTTGCCACCTTGCCGTGAGGCCGTATCCAGCAGGACTACCATCTGCAGGTCGAGTAAACTGCTACAAACTCTCAGACACAGAACTGTTCGATTCACTAAGAGCTCGATATACTATATGACAAGTTCTGTAACATACTGGATGTTATACTGGCCGAACAGGCTTTTCGTACTTTTGATATTGTATTTCTTTTGTATATTTAGTGTTTGTATTGAAGTCTGAATTGATAATATTCTCAAGATTTTAAATTGTAAAAAAGTCTACAATTCAGCCATTTAGACTGCCACCGACGTTTAAACCTGTATGTCTAGTATGTATTTGTTTATGTGAATAATAAACCAGTCATTATCATCAGAAAGAAGAAACATTCTCTGTACCATCTAACATCCTGTGTATGGTTGAGGCCACGTTGATGTCCTGCAGATGCTCCAGTGTCTCTGTGTGGTAGAGGCGGATGGTGGACTTGTTCTGCAGGGAGACCCACACTCCCACTCCTGACACCACGATGTGCTTGGCTGACACGTCACTGCTCACCTCAAAACTCGTCTGAAAGTACAAGAAAACATTTTTTTTTTACAGAATTTGGACTTATTTCAACATGTTTCTTACATGTAGGCATAGCTATAATTGAATTGTAATCTGCTGAAATATGATGCAACAAAGAGTTACTGACAGACTAGAGTACATGTATACAATTCCTAAAAAACTTCATGGAAGTTCAGTGGGTAAGGAATTCAAAGATTCTGACAGTACTGCCTCTACCAGCAAAATTTTAATTAAGTTTTGTTCCATCATCAATAATGAAATATGGAGAAAGTTTACTACTCAAATTCACTTACTATAAACTGTTGATTCAACAACCATCATTGACTGTCAATTAAAAAAACACAAACACACAATGTACTTGTTCAATGTATCTAATTATCAAAATACCAGTTGTACAATGTCATGTAATTATGCAAAATATAAGTCTTGGAGTTAAAGCCTCAGTCACAACCCGCCGTACGTGCGTCTACGTGCAAAAACGTGGGCAAACGTAGGGCATCCGTGCGTGGCGAGTACCACCTCCGTACGGAATCCTACGGATTCGGGAGCACGCAGACACGCCGTAGAACTTTAAGTGCATGTAAAACTTTTTCTGCGTGCGGGCTGCAGATTCACCACCCGTGCATGCGAGTACGAGCGATACGCGTGCCCCGTACGTACCGTACGGAAGAAGCACGTGTGAGTACGGCCTCCTTACGGTTAAGTTGAAATCGTACAGAGATCGTACGTTGTAAGCACGTACAACTCACCACTTGCGCTGCACGAACGATGCACGCAACCGCTCTGGGCCAGACGTGGCGTGCAGACCAAACTCTTACACCTTGCGCAACCGTGCAAGTGACGTGTGAGTGACGTGCGTCAACGCCACTCCTTCCCCACGTTTTCAGAAAAACATAGCAGACGTAGCCTCCCAGAAAACGTACGGACAAAAAGCACGTACGGCGGGTTGTGACCAAGGGTTAAATGTGATAGTAACCTGTATTTGCTCAGTCTCTGCATCGATGATGTGAACCCTGTTCCCACAGGCACACCAGATCTTGTTCTCAAACGGGAAGAGGGAGGTGACGGGTTTGTTGTCGTCCAGCTGACAGATCTTTGGTTCCTTCACCTTCCACGTACCATCTGGGGAACAGGAGATGGACTTACTGTTACATGTAGCTTTCATTGGTTGGGATATAAATCATCTACATTAGGCCACACCAATTTAATTTCTTGGTTAACAGATTTTTCTAGAAAAAAATGGAGCGGGCGGGCGAAAAAAAATAGAAATAAAAACTGGCTTAGGCATCCTATTATGGCCTAAAATGGTACAATTATAGGAGCCATGAAGTCAACACATCAGGCTGGTTCAAAATTTAAAGTTACAATGAATTTTGAACTTTTAATGATACCACTGCATTGAAAGATGAAATAACAGTTACAACTAGGAAGAAAAAGACTGTATTCAATGTGAAAATGAGCATTTTGCAGCTGATTCTTAATTTTTATTTTTTTTGCAAATCAGAAAAAAATGAAGCGGGCGAATCCGTTATACAAGAAATTAAATTGGTGTGGCCTTATAACAATCTCTGGGTGCTTTAACCCAACTGAAGGGGCGTTACCCAGTAACAAACCAGAACCTGAACCAAGCGCACAGTGTTCTGGCCAGGACGCAATTATTTCTGTTATCTCAATTTTGCTTTACGTAACATTTTGTTGAGCACCTCCACCCGAAAATCCAGTTCTTGGGGCATGCTTCCTCAGGAAAATGTTGAAATCTTGACCCTCTGAAACTCTACTTCCTTCATTTATAATGGCAAATTTTGCAGAAAGCTAGTTTAATGACATGAGATTCCATATCTTTACATGCCAATTTTTGTCCTTTTAAGTTGACAGGTTGGGCAAAATTTGTATTCATCATCACATACGCAACTAAATTCCGACAAATGATGAAAAGACAGATACTGCCTTAGATTACAACTACACTCAGTCTGGTTTGCCTCTAAATAAGGGTTTAATCTAAAAAAAAGGGGGGCACATTGCAACATGCATGCTGTTGACAATTAATAGAAAGAAGTTGAGAACTTTTCTTTTCTCAGACAATACAATTTACCTGAAGTCAACTCCTAGTGCCATCATTATCTGTTAAATCTGGTCAAAATATCTAAATTTTCTCACCTTCGAGTCTTCTTAGAATGACGACCTTCCCATCGTCTAGTGCGGAGAAGACTCTCTTGTTGCAGTACTTGATGGCGAGGATAGGGCGATTCCCTGGCACGGTGAACGTTAGGAGGTTCTGTTTCTTTGCCGACTGGGTGGTGCTGTAGATATGTAGGCTACAGAGACATACAGAGGAGAAACGTCACGGACAGAATTGTTGGTTTTGGTCTGAGGTGCTTGGGTGTAGTTAACCAGCAACTATTTGATTGAGATTTGGCATTCATCTGCATAATGTCACTTAATGTGACGTCACAGAAACTGTGGATTGCTCGTTCCTTGACAAAGACTGGAGTTGTACAGTTGAAAATTTGGGTAGGTACAGAATTGTTGGTTTTGGTCTGAGGTACTTTGGTGTAGTTAACCTGCTATAGTTTGATCAGATATGCCATTCTCGAGCCTTATTGGTCCATACACTCAGTGATCTGCATAGCATTCCTTGACAAAGACTGGCAGTATACATGTATACACTCAGTTGAAAATTTGGGTAAGTCAAATTGTGTGTTGGAACCTGCTTCAAAGTATTACTGTTACCAACTGAAATTGACACAGAATATGATGAACTTTCAAGATCAGGCAATTTTGCATATTTAGGCATATTGGCCCATGGATTTAGCTGGTTAATTGGTTGGGCAGCCTTGATTGTATTCTACTCTGCCTTCACATGAAACGAAATTATAATTTAGTCTGCGCTTGCTAAAATTTAGACAAGATGGGCTACATGTACAATCCTAAATGTGCCCAATCTGAAACTAATATGATTCATGATTGTATACTATTAGCATATATAATACTTTTGCGTATGTTTTAAGTTATGGCAAACTACAGTGTGTACAGTTCTTCTGCATGTTGGGTTATTTTTTTGTCTACCAAACTGAAGGTTGTCATTCCTTAGTAACTTCATCAAGGCCTTAAAAAGATTGTCACCAATAATATAAGATAAGGGAATTGGTTTATAATTCTTAACATTTGAACACAATACATTCAGTACATATGCACAACATTGTTGGGTGACCACTACCATATATATACTGTACATGACAATGTGTAGGGAACACACAAGACTAGATGATGATCGTGATAATGAAGGTTCACACTTTGAGAACAGTCTGCACGGCTTTTGCAAGGTCTTTAAATTTCAAACCTGGCAAAACCCTTGCTGTACAACAACACGTCACATCTTACAGAGTTAGGCCACAGCAAGTAAATTTTATGGATGACATCAGCGCGTGCATTGATTTTCCCCTGATTTTGGAAAAAAAAAGAAGAAATTTTGTTGCCTTCTGAATCTGACAGTGGTCAACATGCCGAAAATGGGCAAGGATGTCTGCTGTCATGCTGGAAGGTGGATGGTAGATAACTATGAAGAGAGGAGACAAGAAAAGGCTATGATTTAATGTTTTGTTTCTTACTTTGATTCAGTGATATATGATGCTGGCTGTATATATGCGATGTTCCCACTGAATCAAAACCGTTTGTACAATCAGTTATCATGATTGAGTCAAAATTTGAGAATGTAGAAACCTTGTTTTTTTCGGCTCGCCTTGTTTTTTTTTCGCCTGCTCATATTAGATTTGGAGTCAGCGGAGGATGTCATCCATAAAATTTACTTGCTGTGGCCTTATGATAGAAACTGAGGGGAAGGTTGGATGAGTTAGTTGCACACACAGCACACACAAGGGTATTAAACGTTACCTCCTCCGTTTCTTAGTAAGAGGCACTTCCAGAATGCTAGTGAAGAGAGTGTGAACAAACATGTCAAACATTTCTTGACGTAAGAAAAAAAGTTGGTTTGGTGAAAACACAGTCTGGCAACATTTCTTTCCATTCCCTCAGCAGACTGGACTACAGTTTCCCAACCCATTTGGATTTTAACATTATTTTCAATATTGTTCATGCCATTTTGAGTTTTTGGGGTATAGGAAAATTTGAGTGCCAATTTAATCCAATTTGCAAATTTGGTGAAAAGGAAGGGCAAGGCATATCGAAACACTAAAATAATTTCTTTACGATCCCAAGAATAGTCTTAGATGAAAACGGTAATTTTACTATCCATAATGATTTTAAGTTTGAATCATATTTGACAAAAAGAAATTGCTTTCAAACTGATACATCAAGGATTTTGTTACCGCTTGTCAAAAATGTAGTACAGTTTTTGGTTTCCCTCCTCTTATACTGTTAAAATATTAATTTTGAATTAGTAGTCTAGGTGTCTTTGTCAATGATCAAGACGTGTATTACTAACCAGATGAAATTATGATGTAAAAATAAGAAAAAAATTGCACCATCTTACAAACCACAGTGAGAATTAAACGTAAAAGCATGGCAGAAAGAAAAAAAGGAAGAAAAGGAGAAAGAGAAAAAGTGGAAATTATGGAAAAGCACTTATTAGTATTACCTTGGTGGAGGTGGGCAGGCCCAAATCACATGCAACCTATAAACATAGAGCCACATATCAACAAAACACCATGCAAAAATGAACGAATGAAGATGGCTACAAAACAAGTCCCAAAACTGTGCTTGGGGAAAACTGAAACCCAAAACAACAAAATCTTCACCACTATATTATCCTTCCAGTGCATTAGTAAGAAAACACCACAGCAAGAATGTTTAAGGAGCAAAGGATATCCCAAAAGGGAGTCTATCGGAGCGTATTGTGTTCCCTTAGTTTTAGAAGTGTTAATAGATGAATGGATAGAAATGCTGCAGACTTAAAAGGCAGACAGAGCCCATGACACATATTATACACGTCAATCGTAACATATTTGTATTAGGCAAAACACAACAATGGGATTACATGATTCTGTACGATTATAAAACACATCCCTAACTTAAGATTACAAGCTGTAGATACTTGGACATTGCACTAAGGCCACACCAATTTAATTTCTTGGTTAACGGATTCGCCGCTTCATTTTTTTTAGACTTGCAAATAAAAATAAAAATCCAGAATCAACTGCAAAATGCTCATATAGTTGAAAAGTTGAACAGTTGAAAACAGACCTTTTCTTCCTAGTTGTTACAGTAACTGTTATTCCATCTTTCAATGCAATGGTATCATTAAAAGTTCAAAATTCATTGTTTAAATTTTGAACCAGCCTGGTGTGTTGACTTCATGGTACCATTTTGGGCCATAATACGATGCCTAGGCCTGTTTTTATTTTTATTTATTTTTTCGCCCGCCCGCTCCATTATTTTTCTAGAAAAATCCGTTAACCAAGAAATTAAATTGGTGTGGCCTAATCAAAGATGCTACAAACTACAGAACACCTGCATTACAGTCAATACATTATGTATATTTGACGTTTTAGAAAAAAGGTCTTACTTATTAGTCACATTGAGCTTTTTACTTCGAAATTCCTACACTAAACAGGAATGATTTTAATGGTACTAATTTAAAATTAATGTTAAATCAATACAGTCAAGCATTGATTACCACGTGTGTGAGAAAGCAAAAACTTTTAAGATGAACATAATTTTTTATCATGGATCGTTTAAAATTTGCGTTTTACCTTCAGACTATCATTATTAGATCATAGCTTTATGTTATGACAAAAGAAGTCTATAATGACAATGCAGGACACAAGTGTAGTAGCATGTTATTTGACTGGTTGACTTTGAAATTCCGAGACTGACTTAAATCTTTGGCTAAAACTTCCAAAGATCATTCAGAACATTTCAAGTGCTCCAAGATGCACATAAAGCCTAATGTTAAAAGTTACTTTGCAGATACAGTAATCATTAACCAGCATTTATACATAAATTTAACCCCACTATAGATCCATCACCAAGAAACTGCAACCTTAGAAAGCCTCAAGTAAGCCCATTGTTAACTCTTTAATGAAGTACCATTTTGCAGTTAACTTGCTCAAAGCCAAAAGCATCATAGTTTCCACTAGACTAACAATAAAAACTACATGTAGCAAATGGGAAGAATAATTGGCCAGGGGACTGTGGTAACCGTAGAGTTCATTTGCCCGCTTTAGAGGGGGGTGTTAACCTTTATGACAGACTCTCCTGGCCAATTATTTTCCTTTTTTTACCGAATTCTACGATCCGTACCTCCGTAGGAAGGCCAGGGGAGTATGGCAACCTAGGAGTTCATTTGCCCGCTTCAGAGGGGGTGTTAATCTTTATGACAGACTCTCCTGGCCAATTATTTTCCTTTTTTTTTACCAAATTCTACGATCCATACCCCAATAGAAAGGCCTGGTGAAGGCTAGCAGCATCATAACTACAGTACCCACCAGCCTATATTCTCTACAGCTGGGTTTTAGTGTCACCCTGATTACTTGGCCATTCACACATCAGTTCTACCAACCTCCCGTTCTGTGTGCCGAGCCACATGGTGGGCAGAGCAAAGTTCTTCTTCTTCTCCCTTCCTTCCCTGACGGCCTGTTCCCAATTCTCCTCATCACTACCAGGCACCATCTCAATACTGATGATGCAGGATTCCGACACGTTAAAGCTCTCAATCACACGCGGCGTGGGAGGCTGAAAAAGTATCAGATAAAAACATGATTAATTTTGAATAATGAAATCAATCAATCAATCAACTTTATTGCTCAACAACTGTAGCTGGTACAATGTATGGCAAAGAAACAACAATGGTACATACATGTACATAAACTAATACTAAAATATAATTAACAATCTAGTCCGTGATGATACTAAAGCTAATGAATGAAAGACCTTTATTGTATGTTTGTGCTCTAACAAGCTAAGTACAGGTCATGAATAAACAGGGAAAAGAATATAGCAATGACACTTACAAACTACACATACTAATGTGATCTACTATTTACAGGTTCAACTTCTCGTTTCTTCTTACAAAATTGGCAGATTCTTTGCTGTAGAGGAGTTCGGTTGTGTAATAATCATGTCTGTTAAAAGTGCTACATCCTTACAAATAAATCCTCCAAACAAATAGGTTACGAGAAAGCAGAGAAAGCATCAGTTTCAGATGTTAAGCAAAAACCCTGCACAGAATCATACATAATCTAACTACAGTTCAAACAACAACACAATGAAATATTATACACAATAAAAGAAAGCATAGTACACACAGGATTCTCTCAATATAGATGTGAGCTGAGGGTAGAACTGGCAGTTCTTGTGGTACAGATCCCAATCACTGTCTTTGTCAACATAGACTTCGATCAGGATGCTGTCAATGTGTTAGGTTGGTCTCCTATTTAATCCGAAATTTCAAGTCAATCCTGGTTGATCTAAAACTCAATCCAAACCATATTATTACCTTATAGCAAGTTAAACTGTACCTGGAAGGACAGTCATGATAGTGATCTGTCCGAGGGAGTGTTCCCCGCTACAGACCCACATGTACCCCCAGGCCACGCTGGAGAAACTGTCGTACCACAGATCCAAACTCCATCCAAACCTTATAACACTGGTCACTTCAATTTTGGAATGTCACTTTCCGAATTTCAACACAGCTATGTTGAAATCCCTGATTTTCAACTCTGTTATTCCTGGATGTACAGTAAACTTTTCCATGCCATTGGAAAGATCATGACTATCATTACCTTACACAAGTTAAACTGTACAGTTCTTACCTGGAAGGACATGATAGTGATCTGTCCGAGGGAGTGTTCCCCGCTACAGACCCAGACGTACCCCCAGGCCACGCTGGAGAAACTGTCGTAGCCGTCCTCTAACAGATCCTCCTCCTCCTGCTCAGATACCAGCGGGTTGTGAATCGCACACGACACCTGCAACCAGACTGAGTGGTTAGAAGTTGGAACCACTCAACACAATCATCTTCAGTCTGTATCTTAAAATGTCTTTTTTGTTGTAACTTGTAATCTGCACACCTGTTCTGGTGCAGGCAAATACTTGCACCACACTGCTGTAAATTTTAAAGTAGATTTTCAAAATAGACATGTATGAATCTAACCCAAATTTAAACGTTACCATAACTTAAAATCTTTATTAAGGTGGTTACTATTTTATGATTAGTAACTTACAGTAAACAGAATTTTGCTCAAAAGCAAACATTTTCAACACTTTCATGACAGTTAAAAATTATACAATGCCATTCAATTTATGTGCACTGTAGCTAAATGTTATAAAAGACAGCATACTAAGACAGCTATTAAACATGATAATCTCCTATATTCTGCATCACAACAACCAAAGCAATGCACACAAAGGTCAACAAGTTTGCAAACAAATTTAAAGTAATGCAAATCAAACTTAACCATTCTGTTCAAATCAGAGACTTTGATTTACATACAAAACTAATTAAGAGCAAAGGCACAAATTAAAATAACAGTAAATATGACTTGCAGTTAACATAACTAGTTAACGCAATGAACACGTAATAGTGATTAAATAAGCCTGTTATGGTATTAAAAACATGGTCATTGCAACACAAAGAAACAGACAAAATGCAGATGTTAGGAGCTGAGTGGAGGTGTAAGCCGGCACACAGACAGTGGTTATAACAACCCAGGCCATACCTGGCTGGCTGGAAGAGGGAGCTTGTGTTTTCGAGCAACCTAAAGACAGTGACAGAAGACATGCTGGCTCATGCAATGTACTGGACAAAATTAGAACATGCACTTTTTATCTAATACAACTGTTATAATTTATCTATTATATTTTATAGTAGGCTGGTTAAGCAATTCAGGTTCAGAAATTGTAAGAATGTGTGTTTGGTAATAATCATATACATTTGTACATGTAAATAAGCTGATTCATTGTTTGAACTGCACATGCAAAGTGTTGATGCATTGTGGGCCATACCGGTAGTATCAATCATGGTTTAAACAGGACTACATGTACTTACAAGTTACAAATATGAAAAAAAAACACATAAAAGAGTGGACTGGATTGAGCTTAGCTGAAGCCATAAGAGTGGCGGACAGAGTTAAATGGAGGAGGACAGTACACCAAGTCATGGTGCCTCAATGAGCCTCAACGAGCTCAAGAAAATTACATGTAGGTGAGGTGAGGATTTACAAGTAAGGGGCCTTCACTTGTGACTTCACACACATGTGTTAGTCCAAACTGTGAACCAGCTTATTGTTGAAGAACTTAAAGACAAAAAGGTAATATTTAGCCTTTACCAGGCTTAATCAGATGCATATCCAAGAGTAAAAATTGGCTTGGGAGAGGCAACTACAATAGGCAAACTGTCCTTCTTCAGCACACTTAACTCCCCTGGTATGTTATTGTCTATTTTGCCAATTTCTACTCTTTCCAGCAGCAGCATCTAGGTATAAGGGTGTGATAAGATGCTGAATTCTTTTACCTTCATACTGATGTGTTTGTTCATGAACACTGGCATGACTTTCTGCAGCAGCGGGCGGTAGGCATTGTTCATCTTCCCATCATCCTCTGGGAGAAACCAGCCAGGGTTGTTGATTGGTTCTGTTGAGGAGTAATAATCATATTAATGATATCGGCCATTTACAACTGTTAGCATGTATGAGAGGGATGGCAGGGTTGGACAAGTCCCATTGCCCACTTGCCCAGGGCAAGTAAAAGTACTGTTCGGGCAAGTAAATATCCCCCTGTACTTGCCCGATTGGGCAAGTAAACTTTTAGGATGCAAAGTATAGCCCCTGCATTATTTCGATCAAGTTTCAAACAATTTTGATGAATAAAGCATCCAATAAATAAACTCTTCTATAATAAAATAATTTCCTTTCTGCTAGTAAAATGAATAGAAATGCGTCATATTTTGGGCAAGTGAAAAGATGGTTTGGGCAAGTGAAAATGACCAGGTACTTGCCCAGTAGGGCAAGTGGATTTTTGAAAACTTGTCCAACCCTGGATGGGCAATTGTTTTCATTATTGTAGATCTACAACAGCTAGTTTCCAACAACTACATTGTAATTTTACACTGTGAAATGACCCAATGAAAGGTTGCGGTGGTGTCTGTGAATTGATGGCATTCAGCACCAGGGACAGGTAGGTACATGTATGTGTGTGTGTGAGTGTGAGCAATTGTGTGTTTGTTTGTGTTTGTGTATATGTGTGAGTGTGTGTGTGTGTGTGTGTGTGAGTGTGACTGTGTGTATGTTGCGCTTGTGACTGTGTGAGAGCGATTGTGTGTCTGTTTGACTGTGTGTTTGCATGTGTACACAAAATGAATGTGTGACTGTGTAAAATCAGTCTGCAAAATATTTTATTCATAATCTCAAAGTTTATTGATTGTCAAGTGTAAGTTATCGTTTCATAATCCACCCATTTGGTCTTTGCTATGCTAACACACAAAAACATAGTTACATGTATGACTACACAATGTAGAATCATGCAAACAGAACTACACATGCATAGTCATCATTGGTGCTTTTGGTACACATGGTAATGAAGTACTACACATATGTTACATGTATGTACTACACATAAGTATGTACTACACAGATGTATGTACAAAAAGTACTACACATAATATGCATGTTCTACACAGATACCTAGTGCAAGTCTGGCCATGTCTAGTGAGGTGGTCCATGCATATTTCAGCCGTGGGGTGTAGGTGTTGAACTCATTGTAGATGATGCCATTCCTGTGGTAGACACAGACAAATTTTACATCACAACAAATGACACATGATGATAATACTAACTACTTATCATAACTTTTATTTGTAACTCTACCTTTTACAATATTATATTCATAAATGTATATATGTGAGAGTTTTAAGGTTATAGTATTGTTGGTCATACAAAACATAGTGGAAGAGCACAGAAGTTGTAAAGTAAAAATCACACCTAGTTCTGCTCCATCTGCAATCCAAGACAAGCATGAAAAGCAGGAAAGAGCAAAGAGAGAAGGCAAAATTTATTTTAAAGTGGTGGTAAGAGAGGGGGAAGACCGAAACTTTGTGTCAAAACTTTTCTTGTTCCTTATTTTGTACAACACTTTGCAACTGTTAAGTACTGTAACAGTACTTGTAGAATCTCAGTGCTACATGTGTTGTTTCTGATGTCAGAAGATCAGATTAGTAAATCTTTCAACTGCAAAAGCTACAGTACAAACAAGGATCTTAATTTTTGTTTCCTTGTCAGTTGGTAAAACCCAGTTTCAACTGGGAAAAATGCTGCTACAGATTCTACATGTACAAATCACAAAAGCCTGCATATTAGATATTCAACTCAAAATATATGCCAGCATAATACACCCTTAAGGCTTAACGGCATTTCCATGAGCAACAGATAATGTACCGAGTTGGACAGGATAGGAACAACTTATAGAGACTCTTAACAACTAAGAAGCAATGAAATCAGGACTTACTTGAACGGCAGTGACAGGAGTATTCTGCACAGATCAGCCTGCTTAATCTGCTTGTCCTTTTGTTTGATGAGTTTCTGTAAGGTGTTGGACCAGTCCTCTACAGCATTAACATTAAATGTCTGTAGAGTGGAAAAAACAAGACAAACAGCTTGAGAAGCTGGTGGAAATAAGTCCATTTTTGTTTACCTTGAAATTCAAACTATGAATCGTATGACAGAGCAAAAGATATCTGGACACTCCACTCCATGCTTGCAAGTACAGTGTATCAGTATCTATAATTGCTGTTAGGCCACACCAATTTAATTTCTTGGTTAACGGATTTTTCTAGAAAAATAATGGAACGGGCGGGCGAAAAAAAAAAACAGGCCTAGGCATCCTATTATGGCCCAAAATGGTACGATAGGAGCCATGAAGTCAACACACCAGGCTGGTTCAAAATTTAAACAATAAATTTTGAACTTTTAATGATACCACTGCATTGAAAGATGGAATAACTGTAACAACTTGGATGAAAAGGACAGTGTTTTCAGTGCAAAATATGAGTATTTTGCAGTTGATTCTGAATTTTCATTTTTTTTTGCAAATCAGAAAAAAATGAAGCGGGCGAATCTGTTAACCAAGAAATTAAATTGGTGTGGCCTTAGCGAAAAAAAAAATTCTAGATGGGGATGCAGGCAGTGTGACAGCGTCATCTTGAAATTGTGTCATCTTCTGTGCAGCATGGAAGCTAATTCCAGGACAGGTGATTGCAAGCTAAAAAAAGATAAGAGTGTAGCAAATATCTACAGAGTTGTAAAACTACATGTGAAACATGTAAAAGCAATCAGTGCAAAATTAGCAAGCAAGCTGAACTGTTCAAGCCATTTCTGTGCTTTACCTATCACATTTCATTTTCAAATAGTATCATCAAGATTTACAAACTGTATGTCCCCCTCCACCAAATTTTAAATATTTTAAACTTAAAGGCATTGTTGATTACATTGAGAAACTACAGTTTGCAAACAAACTGCTATCAAAATCAAGCATAAATGCATGCATGCAATATATTGAATTTCATAAAATTTAAAGCATCAATGATAACCAAATCACACACACACACACAACTAGACTACAGCATATTGAGACATCATTTCCATGATTGTGTATTTGGTCAGCTCTCTTCAGCCCTACTATCTACTCAAAAGGTGAAACAACACAATAACCACAAACCCCTGGTTCACTCCCATGTTGCTGTGTAGAAGGGGTCTGAAAACAAAAAGGGTGGGTTTTCTGAAATGTCTGTTATAACGAGGGGAATGGCTTTTGCACAACCACATCTTCCTGTGTTGTCCTCTCCAGTTTAGGAAAGTTGCACAGTGCAAGAAAAAAGACAACTTTGAAACTTTCCTCAAATACAATGAAAATGAATAAAACATGAATGTATACTCGACAAAATCAAACTTTAAGAATGAAAATAAAGCACTCGATCTTGTCAAAATTAATCCCAAAGCAAAGCAAAGTAAAGCAAAGCAAACTTTAAGCAAAAGGAAAACAAAATAAACAAGGTTTAACAGCACAGTGACTGTCAAACCTGCCCAAGCCATCCACCTGGCCATTACAGCAACTTTTCCCAGTTCCGAACTTTTTTTCTATAGGCACAAGCATTAAGCAACCTGCTCAAGAAGGCCACCTGTCCAATAATACTTTACCTTGGTCCCTAGCCTGGTATCTCAGTCTTATCGTGGTTTGTCGTGGTTGACCACAAGAACAAAAGAGTAATACAGCACTGGGAACCTAATGGTATGTTTTGTTGGGCGGTAGTTTCTCACTTCGAGTGAAAATTTACGTGCATCACAGTGTGACTAATGGTGTAAAAAATCAGTGATTTTCGGCTCGATCCAAACTAAACACAGCCTGTAAACTTGTTCTTCATGATTTCTAGATGACTATCGGCACCGAAAATATGGGAAAAAATTGTTGCAAAATGAGAGGGACAGAAACTAAGGTAAACTTCTTTTATTTTAAGACTGGATTTTCATTTTCCTGGCAGGTTCCTTGTTCCCTTTCCAGTTCTTTATAATTTGGATATTTCTACAGGTTGTAACAGCGGATAAAGCAAACTTGCACCACCGTGCATTCCGGCAAAAAAATAGTTGCACGACACCAAATTTACTTGCACCAAGTTGCACACAGAGGGGTATTTTCGACCCCTGCCCAACCACAATTAGACGGGATACCAGGCTACCTCAGTCCCCTGAGTGGCTTTCCTAGGCAGGTTTGACTGACTGTATGTTGTTTTATATACATTTATACCAGCAGGGTATATCTATCTATCTACCAAGCATTAGGGAAGGAGGGCAGTTTAACCTACATGATAGGTACCCCTGAACTGCGCCACCAATTTCTGAATCTGACCAACCAGGTTCAGGTCGTAGAGGAGGTCATCACGCTCCTTGTAGAGGTGGACCGGGCCGCCGTACATCGCGTCTGAAAAACAACCAGCAAGTTTTCTTTCATATTTTTATTATTAAATATAAATTATATATTAGATAGATGCTCTAAAATAGATGCCTTGTATATCATGTTGAACATAACTTCATATTAATATACAAACACAGGAAGAATAGCAACTACAACAATGTACTTGTATGTGGATACAAATAAACTAAACTCAAACGTTAACTCAACAGGCACACTCTTGAGATTTAACCATCAGAAAAAAATTGATCAACACTGGTTGTATGTGGCTATTGTACACTTGTCCCTATTTTAACTTGAACATTAATAATAAATATTATGATTACAGAAAAATGACTGGATGAGCCTGCACAATTGTGATATAATGATTGTATTACAATACCTGCCTTTAATCTAATCTTCAAAGAGAAGTTTACCCTGTAACGTTAACCTTTACCACTAACTACAATGTAAAGAGTTCATGTAAGTTTAGTATAACATACACTTACAATCATGGTCTTATTGGTCCAACAGAAACAGAATTTATGTAACTGATACCTTGAGATATTGTAATAACTGTAACATTCAAATTGAAAAGTAGAACATTTCAATCGGCTTACCTTCATGTTTTTTTAACTAACTTTTTAAGTACAAATCTAGACTCTATCAAAATTGATTGGCATTCCAAAAATGTCCCTCTCTTGTAGCAAAGGCACGACAATACAGAGCTTTAACATAAAGGCAAAGCTACAGGACTTGCATTTATTCATGTCTAGCATATTATACACTTTTGAAGAGGTGAAAATGCAAACAGACAAGATGCAAAGGAAGCTAGAGACAGGTAAGTTTGTATCTACATGTATGAGTTCTGCTAGCTTAGAGGGTGCACTAAAATTTATGGGGTTGTAAGATTATGCTAACTAAGAAGTCCCAAACCAACCTGGAATGCTACAACCCCTAGGCCTTTCCTGGGAATTTTTCCACCGTCGTCTTTCCCTCCACTTTCCCATAATGCCCATATCGGGCGCGCTCACGCTCCGTTTGATGCTAGCATTGCGCCCTTTCTCCTGCAGCTTTACGCCCGACTGTTCGGAAACGGTTAGGAAGAGGAGCGGAGTGAGAGCCAGGAAGATTAGCGAGGTGGCGCGAGGCATGCACAGAAGCAGAACGCACAAAACCAGCGACAGAACAAGGGACACGCAAAGTGACACCAAAGAATGATGGGAACTGGTCACATGACCACAGACGAATCGAAAGAGGGTTAAAAGTTGAGGGAAAGATACTTGGTAGTAGACTAGGTTTTGCATGATGGAAAGATAAGCAAATTTTTTTTGGTTAAAGAACAAGCCAAGTTGTGAGTTTGCAGTTTGACAGGCGGGATGTGCAGTACCAGTGAATGTCACAAGGGGGCATGAACAAGTAGTAAATTGTGAACATGTGATATATTTTGCCCAGAGTAAAATGGTTAGTTCAAGCAAGTTAGAGCAGAGAAAAGACAAATGTGATGGAAGAAGACAAGAAAAGAATCCAAATGACTTGAGAGAAATGGAAGAAAAGGGAAAAGGATTCAAAAGCGTTTAGGTCTGTTCCATTTCAAAAGCTATGGGGGACAATAAAGAATTCTTCAAAGGGAAAAATGACAATCAAGGCTACAAATTAAAATAGAGGGGGGTAGCATTGATACCAATAGAGATAAATTTCTAAGGGAGCCTTTAGGGATTGGACTGAACCAAAATTGAGTGGCACTTGGGTCAAAAGACATTCCTGAGTCCCCCCACCATTTCAAAATGGAACAGCCCTATAGGAAAGGCCTTGTACATACCACAAGGGGAATGATAGAAGCTTTAGCCAAAGGAGAGTGTGGAAAATCTGGAAAGGAACTATGCATGACACATGTGTACATGTACATGGAGACAGAAGAAGGAGAAAGATCAAGACAAGGCATCAGTTGTGAAGAGTGTTACACTTACAGTTTATGGTGATACTAAAGTCTTTGGGGTCTCAATTTGCTAAATTATGTAAAAGAAGTGATAAAGAATAAGTATTCTTTTAAATCTTAGGGATAAATAAAATTTTGACAGCTTGTTCTTTTATCATTAATGGTATTACTAAGTGCCTCCAACTAATGTAAATTATATTAAAATAATATGTAGTTTATACAAGAATTTTTATAGAATTTTTGTTCATACACCTGGTCCCTAGAGTGTGTGTCAGCTTATTCAAGGATTCTTGTCTGTTTTTTTAATACAAACAAAAATTAATTTTTTACTCCAATCAGTTATCCGATACCAAAAATGCAAAATGGCCCTATAAAGCAAACATTTCATACTGATTTCAGGCAATAAATTTCATTGCGCATCATACTTTTCAGATAATTAATATAATGATAAAAGCCATAAAAATTTGCAATATTTAATCCTATCCACCATTTTAATATTATACCACAGCTGTGATTTACTTAAAGGCAAAATTATGGTAACCTTTAAGCCAAGTATTGATGTATGAAAACAATGATAACAACTTTCAACATTATGAAACAAGTTTGAACTGCAATATCCAACACATTCAAGAAATTGGACTCACCCAAATTTTTGACTGTACAACTCCAGTCTTTCTCAAGGAATGAGCAATCCACCGCTTCCGCGACATCCATGTAGTTATACAGTGGAAAATATGGGTTGTACAGTCACACTGTGGAAAATTTGGGTGAGTCCAATTTCTTGTGTTGGATATTGCAGTTGAAACTTCACAATGACTTCTACCAACACAGATGTACTTTTAAGATAACTTTAAACATTCTCACAGCTCCGCCAGAGACTGACCTGGTTTGGCGCCGCTGACGGAGGGCGGGCGGGGGCTCTTCCCGCCAGCTGCTGTTGCCATGGCAACCTGCTGCAGGGTCTGGATGTCCCCCTCCTCCACTTTCACTTTGGAGAGCGGGGAGCTCCACTTCATCTTGTACCGGGGCCCCGCTGTCACTCGGGCACTGCTCTCAGATCTAGGGAGATCCAAAAAAAATCATACATGTAGGAATTATATACATCAGGGCTCTGCATTATTTTTCTACATACCTGTACTTCTTCTTCTTTCATTTTGAGGCAGCTGCCTTAAACTAGCTGAAGATTCTGCTGCCTTTTTGTGGCTAATACAAGAACGAGATGGGGTTTGCCAGACCTCTATCCAGGAAAGTCGTGTAAAGTGCCTTTCCCAAGGGCACAAGATTGGTGACATGGCAGGATTCAAACCGGGGACCTCTTGGTTCCAAGGCAAATGCTCTGCTGTTATGCCACAAGACTCCACTGTTTGTACTGGTGCAGGTAACATTATAATGATTGTAAGTTGCCTAGGTCTGTATCAGACAAATTTCACCTGCACTACTCAGAATTTACTAAGTATGGATCATACTAAAAACTGTTCAGAAACTGTTGCCATTATTTCTTTCAATTATACTTGGTAGGTAGCAACGGTTAATGCAGCAAATGAAAATCCACATACACCTACTGCATTTTGTCCATGTACATTGTGTATACTCTAAGTGTGCTAAAAATTATCTATGGTACATGTACACATCTACGATGAAGTATACTAAGTAGAAGTGAGCCCAGTTAACCTAATAATCTTTCATGTAAACTTTCTCTTTGTACATGGTGTGTTTGTTACTATTATAATAATATTGAGGATTAGGCAAATTGTACTTACCATGAAGGATAATCCCAATTATACCTCACACGAACTATTTGGGTATATCATTTACATGTACCTTATGCAGTATTTCCTATGCTTATCGCTAGGTGGCGCACGTGTACAAAGCTCTAATCGCAAAGCATCACGGGATATCATGACGTAATGACATTGTTCGCCGCCATTTGACGACGTGCGAGAAAGAGTCTGTGCTGTTCACCATGGGTGGGCATTTTCAGCTACTTTGGAGCTGAAGAACAGCAAGGGTGGGAAGATATACCCAAATAGTTCGTGTGAGGTATAATTGGGATTATCCTTCATGGTAAGTACAATTTGCCTAATCCTCAATTATACCTGCACACTCCCTATTTGGGTATATCATTTACCTTATGCAGACTTCAGAGCCGTGGACAGCACAGCCTGGCCAAACGTGTGTTGGTTGTTGTCCCTCCTGTAGTACTTCAGGAAGGTAGACTCTCGTGACCAGTCCGCTGCATTCATGATGCTATGTAGAGACACCCCAGCAGCTGTAGCAGCTGAAGTGGATGCTCCTCGAGTGGAATGAGCTGAGAAAGTTGCTGTGTCAACACCTGCCGTGCCTAACACTGACTTAACCCACCTGGCCAGGGTCGCAGAACCAACTGGCCTGTGTGGTCTGCTGAACGATATGAACAACTTCTGCTCCCCCCCCCTTCTTTCCGAAGGGAAGAAGTCCGCCTTAGATATTCTTTCAGGTATGTGAAGGCACACAAGCGCCTGTCCTGCGGGAAGGCCGCCCAAAAACACTTTCTGGCAGGTTTCCCTGGTCTAGAAGTTTCAGCAGGGTAGGAATTGTCCAAGAAAACACCGTTTCTACATTTTTTTTTTTTTTTTTATGAATCTCAAGTCAAGCGCCGCTAAAGTCTGACCTCTGTCGGCTGACACCAATGCCGCTAGTGTTACCAACTTATGAAACAGCTGTTTCAAACTAAGACTATTAGCTTGGCAACAATGCAGAAGGTACTCTAGGACCCGACTGACGTCCCATGTTGAAACATATCTTGGACAAGGAGGACGTTTGTGAAACAGACCTCTCATCAGTTTGGACACTAGAGGGTGACTACCCACATTACAATGGTCTACTGGTAAGTGTACAGACGAGATCGCAGAACGAGCCACCCCAATTGACATACAATGTATAGCAGTAGTTCTGTCGGAACATCCATTCAAGATATTCTACTACGCTCTCTATAGAGCCGCAAACTGGATCAATCTTCCTTCTATCACACCAGCTGGCCCACTGAGCCCATGCTGACTGATACTGTCTAGAAGTGCTTTCTCTCCAAGCCGAGAGGATGAGGTCTGAAGCCCCTGCCGAAAGGCCCCGACCCTGCAACTGTCGCCTGATCTTGGCCACGCGGCAAGCATCAGATCTGGCAACAGCGGATGGGGTCTCCTGTTGTGCGGCAGGAACAGCAGATCCCAGCTCTGTGGCAGGAGAACCGGACTCTCGAACAACATGTTCAACACCTTGGGGTACCAAGCCTGAGACTTCCAAACTGGAGGTATCAAAATCACTATTGCTACGTCTGACTGGACTTTCCTCAGTACCTTGAACACTAGGTTGAAGCGGGGAAAGGCATGCGCTAGCCCCAGGTTGCCTCAGTGAATGTTTACGTCATCCACCGACATGGCCTCTGGTTCTGGGTGCCAAGAGACAAACTCCTTCAGCTGAGCGTTCATACGAGACGCAAACAGATCTACTGTCAATGCATTGCCTGTCCAATTGTTCAATGACAGGAAAAACTGAGCGGTTCAGTTGCCACTCTACCTTGTCCAGAAAAAACCTGCGAACACCTGTCCGCTAGGGTGTTTGTCAATCCGGGAACGTGAGTTGCAGACAACGTCAGGCCTCTTTCCAGGGCCCACGACCACATCTCCAGGGCCAAGGCTGCCAGATCTGGCGACCTTGTTCCCCCCATGTGATTCACACATGCAACGGCTGTTGTGTTGTCCAGCCTTAGCAGAACATGCTGAGTATCTGCGCTCACAAAGCTTCTTAGCGCCAGGAAGGCCGCTTTCAACTCTGGCCAATTGATGTGCATGCGCGCTTCTGTCTGTGACCAGCGCCCGCCTGTCTCCTGACCATTGCAATGCGCGCCCCATCCCTCCAGTGAGGCATCCGTGCAAATTGTCAGGTCTGAGTCTGACGGAACAAAGACTCTGCGACCGTTTACTTCGCGCACATGACTGATCCACCACTGTAGATCTTTTACTGCATCTGGGGTTGGACTGACTGAAGAGTCGAATTTTTCCCGGCTTCTTTATGCTGAAATTGAGAAGCTGTTGCAGAGCCCGGGAAGAATGGCTTGCTTGGTGGACTCTAACAGCCCCACCACGCTGGCTAGCTGCCTGGTACATATCACCTCCTGTTCTAGAAGTGATTGGCAAGAACTCACTACCTTGTCTAACTTGTCTTCGTTAGGTAAATTGTCAAAGTACGAGAATCGAGAACAAGGCCTAGGAAAATCGCTACCTGAGACGGTACCAACTGCGACTTCTCCAGGTTGAGAACAACCCGAGTTGCTCTAGAAGCTCTCTGGCTATAGCAATGTGCTCTAAGCATTGTTCCCTCGACCTTGCAATGATCAGTAAGTCGTCTAGGAAAACTACTACTAGTAATCCTTGTCTCCTTAGAATGGGCACAATCGGCCGCAAAACCTTGGTAAATACCCTCGTCGCCGACGTCAGACCGAGGGGAAGACACTGAAATTCCCAAAGAACTCCTCTCCACGAAAAACGAAGGAATTTTCGATCGCCCTGAGCTATTGAGATGGTAAAGTACGCATCCTTTAGATCTATAGTTGCTAGAAAATCTCCTTTTTTTTCACAACTCTTAGACTAGGTTTATCCCTTCGAACTTGCAAGTACGTTTCAGAACAACTTGTTTAAAGACTTAGGTTTATAACTGGTCTCCAGCCTCCCCGAGCTTTCGGGACTAGAAAAATCGTAGAACATATTGGCTCTCGCAGGGTTCGATTTTGGACCCCTGCACCTTTCTCCAACATACTGTGCACTTCCTCGTCTACAACCTTTGCTCTGTCCTCCCCAGATATATTTGTGACCGGCTGGACGAACTGAACCGGAGTGGACTCCCAGTTTTCCATGAAAAAAGCTGTTCGCCCTGCGTGTTGAACCGGAGAACAGAGCAGAGTCTGATGACGAGGAAGAGCTACTGTTTGTTTGGGCCTTTTGTGCCCTGCGCTGAACGAAACCCCGAGGTTTTCTTACCCCCGGCATTTGACCATGGTCTAGCATTGTTGTTGTTGTAGGGACGAAAAATGTAACCCTTTGAGTTTTTGGAGTACTTGTTGTAGCTATAGTTAAACTTTGAACGGTTGGACTGAAAACTGTCCCTAGCCCTAGAAGTGCTCGAAGGGGCTGACTTATAAGCCTTACTCAAAGTGCGTCTAGCCTAATCGGCTGAATTAACCTTCTCCAAAAAGGTGTCTCCAAATTAAGAAGGGGAAGAATCTGAAGTTCCCGAGCAGGTCGCTACATTTTTGAGGACTTTACTCACAAATTCGGAGTTTAACTGCTGCCAACAACTCTACTAAAAGGTTAGCAGCCATGAGCATCTTATCCTGGCAATCACTAAAATTCTTATCAGTGTTTACGGTATCATGCTTGATCATATTAGCCACTACTGGGTCTAGAATCGGCGCCCGAAGTGCTAATTCAACATTAGGTGGAGTGGGAAAAGTTTTCCTTCCTCTCTTCACTAAGGGTTCAGACCATCCTCTAAACCCGATGCTGTTTGCAAAGCGATAGAATCGTCTTTGGTGTTTTTTGGGATCAGCTTCCTCTACTATGACTCAGTATAGACGTGAAATGTGTGGGAAGGACATGAAACAAGATATGAAACAAGTCTTCAAGACCGATTTCCCCACCGGTTCCTCCAAATACTTATTTGAAGTTATTATCGTAGGATTATCAAACGACAAGGAGTTACCTTCGTCAGAGTCAGAAAAAGTGATTTTTTTTCCTTCCTCCGAACACTCTTCCACTTCAGAACCTGGATGCTCTCGCCGGAACCGACTACACCGGCTCGGCTGGTCGACGCTACCGCCCCGTCAACGTCCCGAGGTTGACGGGATGAACTGGACGCCTGAGGAAGTCCCAAGCTGGAACTGATCCACTGAAGAAAAGAGGCAGCGTCGAATCCAGGCGGGAAGGGTGTTTCTGATGGAGGTGGGGGTGGAGGAGACTATTCCCCACCAAGCTTCGGCACGGTCGGGGAGCCCAACTCCTCCGAGTCCGGAGGAAATTTAGGCCGGGGCGGCGGCAGCTCCGCGCCGTCTCCTTCCTTGACCGATGTTCCCGGTGCCAACGCCGAAGGGGCATTTCGCTCCCAAGCGGCGGATGTTCCCGGTGCCAACGCCGAAGGGGCATTTCGCTCCCAAGCGGCGGAATGAGGTTGGAGTTCTTCTCTTTTTCCTCCGAACCTCCAGCTGTAGGAGCGGGGACTTTTCGTTCACCCGACTCCTCTTCCTCCTGTCCGGAGGCATGTTGAGACACGCCTGTATTTTCCACGGCCAGGAATTTTTCCTGACTAGCGTTGGGAAACAGGCCGCTTCCCTTGCCGTTACGACCCGTCTGGTCCTCCGAAAGGCTACCTGAATCGCCCTCGTGGGCAGAAGACTTCGTTTTATCCCTCTTTTTGGGCCTAACGCTGAAAGAAAATCCGAAAAAATAAGGAGTAGGGAAACGAACGTGCACCCCTCTGCGAACGCACAAGGAAAATGGCGGCGAACAATGTCATTACGTCATGATATCCCGTGATGCTTTGCGATTAGAGCTTTGTACACGTGCGCCACCTAGCGATAAGCATAGGAAATACTGCATAAGGTAAATGATATACCCAAATAGGGAGTGTGCAGGTATAATTGGTACCGTAACTGTCATTTGAGTGCTTTGTCGAGAGTGGTCTAACATTTGGGCATAACAGGCATGTTTCAGTAGATTATACCCCTAACATTTGTAAGTAGATTCAGTTGTGTAGATTATACCCTGCACCTGAGATACACTCTGGGTCATGTGGCGCAGTCAGTAGCGTGTTCGGCTCACACCCAAGAGGTCGCGGGTTCGAATCCTGCCCATGTCACTGACTTGTGCCCTTGGGAAATACAGGACTTTCCTCACTTCACACAGGTGGAAATGAGTAGTACCTAGCTTTGGTTAGGGACATCCCTCGGATAGGACGTTAAATGGAGGTCCCATGTTTGGGGAGAGCCACACCCCATGCACATTAAAGAACCCACCGCACTTATCAAAAAGAGTAGGGGTCCTTCCCGGTGTGAGTGGTTCAAACCTTACAGTCCGGTCTTACACAGCTTGTAAATGTGCGTACATGTACAAAACTGGTGTGTTATGCCTAAAGGCAGTTTACCGGTTATGCGAAACAAACAAACACTGTACCTACCTTGGGAGAACAGTGGCACACACGAGCATGTCGTTCATCATGAAGAGCCTGCGAGACTTGGTCTTCTGCACCTCTCCTCGCTCGTTGTACACCTTTAAAGAGGAAAACCCACTGTAAGGACTGGCAGGGTCACGGGCATGGCACACATACTTCAACTGTGAACAGATTTCGTGCACAGATTCGGTAATGGAATCTTTATAGACAAAAAAGTCATGCTTTTCCTAACAAAATCAAGTTTACTATCATGAAAGTTCATCTGTGTTGGTAGTTACAAGTTTAAAGTTAAAACTTTTGGTCCAACACAAAAATTTCTCTCACCTTGAGCTTTCGACCAGTCACTCTGTCTTCCTCAGTAGACTGAACCAGTAAATCCTTACAGTGTCAAGTGAAACAAAATGTCCGGGTGACTCTATGTGGTGTTGTGATACCTGTGAACTGGCAGCACATCCACATAGAGTCACCCGGACATTTTGTTTCACTTGACACTGTAAGGATTTTAGACACTGAACAAGACTATTTCTTGAGACGGGTGAAGGAAGCCATATACATCAGGGCCCATCACCCTACATTGAACTGCCACGGGGCCGACATCGTCTGCCAGATACCTTTGACCCAGTGTTGACGTCACACTTCAAAGAAGCCATGTGACAAGCCTCACTGGGTCAGTCTACTGAGGAAGACCAGAGTGACTGGTCGAAAGCTGGTCGAAGAGAATTCTTTGTGTTGGACCAAAAGTTTTAACTTTAAACATGTAACTACCAACACAGATGAACTTTCATGATAGGAATCTTTATAGATGTGCTTTTCCTAACAAAATCAAGTTTACTTGATTTCAGCATTTAAATGTTAAAGGCAATGCAATTTCATAGTGGCAGAACATATTAAGAATATTCTGGATTGACATTTACTGCCATTTCTTAGCTGGTTTTTGTCATCTTTTTAAACTTGAAGCATTTAAAACAGCCCCAAAACAAGCTTAGTGAGGTGTCTCCTTAATTTTTGGGTAACACTAAAATTTTTTGGGATAGGATACATTCTATACACCTTAATACCTGCAGCTCTGAGTCTACAAATGTAGCTCAACTGCATTGACTTACTGTTTGGACCATGTCATCTTGTCTGACCATGTAGCGAGCTCCCGTGGGGGTCTGTAAAAAATGGGATAAAGATTCAAATTAGACTTTCCTTAAGAAATTCAAACAAGAAATTAAAGATCTCATAGTCATACTTCCATGAAATATTTTACTAATTTTTAACCAATTTTTCACTGATTCTGTGTAATATTTTGTATTTTTCCATGCACTGTCTCCCTGTGTAGGCAACAGACATGTATATAGCAGAAAATTGAAGGAAGTGCGGTAACCTTTTCTTGGACCTTTGACCTAACTTCCTGTCAGTGTCACAGACATGTCTAACATGTAGAAATGACTACAGAAACACAAGCAAACGCACAGACATTCTGAAAACAAAACAGTTGGGTCATGTGGCGCAACGGCAGAGTACTCGACTTGGAACCAAGAGACATGCCACCGATCTTGTGCCATTGGGAAAGGCACTTTTGCACGACTTTCCCCACTTAACTTAAGTGAAAATGAGTATAGTCCTGTCTTATATTCTATGTGTGGGACACAACACCAGCAACGGCTGCCTGTGTCCCACATTTATTGCACTGTTGCAGTTTCAATAAATCAAATCAAATCAAATCAAATCAAATCAATAATAACTATTCATTCACTCACTCACTAACTCACTCACTCACTAACTCACTCACTCACTAACTCACTCACTCACTCACTCACTCACTCACTCACTCACCCACTCACTCATTCATTCACTCATTCCAAGATAAAACCTGACCTTTGTAGCGAACTTGACATTCATGTTCCTGGAGATCTGTTTGACCTCGTACTTGGTCTCTGTCTCCCTCTTGTGCTCGTTCAGCTTCTCAGCGAGGGTCTCTAGCTGTGTGAGCGCTAACTGCAGGGACAGCCTGTCCGGGTGACCCTTGGGAGTGTTCTTTAACATGTCCTGAAATTCAAAATTCCACAATACATAAGATATTGGTAGCCTCCGTAGCAGGCTTATAGAACTGGGGGTTTGGTCTCGGTTGGGTTAAGGCAGCCTATGGCATACTATGAGTAGTATTTCATACATAATTATTATGCCTGTAACTTTTGATAGCTTGGTCGCACCACAACTAAACTTTACACAGTTATAGTAGTACTTGAAACAAATTGAATAAATGTTATTTTGTTTTTACTACTTCTGGATTTTTGGGTTAAAAATCAACATTTTGGTTAAAAAAAGGCTGTTTACTTCATGGCTTTACGCGCAAGCGGTAACAACACCTTTCATCATGATATTTTACAAGTAGAAAGTCAACCCCCTATCTATCATTTTTGTCCGAGGCTATTTTGTTTTAAATGACACTTACATTGTTTTTTTGGGCCAAAAACGACAGAAACAGCTATTTTTCTGTCATTTTTCGTTAAAAAATTGCCACAGTTAAAATATATCGACTTATATGCAAAATAGCCTCGGACAAATTTGATAAAAAAAGTGATAATACGTAAACATAGATTACTCTAAAGATCAATTATGCTGTTTTCAGCTGCGCGTAAAGCCGTTTAAGTCATACTCCGTGAATAAAATGCGTAACAACGCGGGTTTACAGGGGAAACATACAAATGACCGCCGGTAACCCCGAATTTGAACACGCGTTCTATTCGAATGACGTCATATCGAACATGGTGGAACATGATTCGGGTTCGAAACATGTTTGTGGTCATCGTGCAGACACACGCCCGAACTCGAACATGAATATCAGCCTAGGCCTCCTTAACCCAACCAAGGTGGTCATTGGCTGTTTTCTGATTAGCCCAGTTCTATCAGTCCGGCTATGTTGTCTAAAGTATATGCAATCAGAAAATAGCGTATAAAAGCTCCCAAAAACCCTGAAGACCCCTGAAACCCCCAGTTTTTGGCATGCTATGGAGGCTAAGATATTGGCCCCTCCTCTGAGGCATTGCCAAAAAAGAGGTACAGTAAAGCAGCATTTTATGGAAAGTATTTCAATATGTGATCTATCAATTTCCTACATAATTCTAACCCAATCAGCATAGTTCTTTTTAGGCAAAAGGGCCATGAAAGTGTTATAGCTGATAGTCATCAAGGATATTTCAAGAATGTCTATAGTCAACAATATTGTAACTTTGGTGGCCTATTCTCTTTATTAATTTGGGCCATTTCTTCTTCCATATTTTCTATATTTTACTTTGTTACCAGATTTCTTGTGTCCTTTTGTCCTTTTTAAACTCTCTAATGTGAAAGACTACTTTTCCATGCCGCCTCCAAATGTTCCTCACTATTAGATAAACTGTTACAGTAAAACACTGCATACACACCTGTAGCAGCAGAATGAACTGTGGAAATCTCTGCACAGGTTTCAGCATCAGTCCATACAGACTCAGTCTGTCTCCACTGCTGGCCTGACGAGCCTGGCAAGTACAATGTACAACAAAGAGATGCTCAGGTTAGTATACACAAATTAGAGCAGTATAAATTTTTATCATATCATTACATGTACATGTACTTAAAAACAAATTTTAGTACATAACACCATCATGGTTATGGTTTCCTTATGATCAAACAAAAGCACCCCATCTACCAATACATGTATGTTACTAACAGTGTACAAAATACAGTGTTGACTGTATTTTCACTTTCACTTTCAAAGAAGCCACGTCACAAGCTTCACTGGGTCAGTCTACTAAGGAAGACCAGAGTGACAGGTCCAGTGGCGGCGGCAGCGGGGGGGCAAGGGGGGCGG